AAGACATGTAACTACAAATCTCCTAACAAAATGCTTGAATTTACTTATTTTGTGCTTAAAATAAGTAAAATTAGTTGATATAAAACTAAATAATGCTTACTGAGATACATGCACAAACAATAAAAAGTAAAAAAAATCTTTAAATAATTGCAAAGACTTATTGCAAAAAATTACATTTTAAAATTTCTAATGTAAAAGAAATTATATGTAATCTGCAACAAATTATTGCTAATTTCTTTTTCAGGCGTTTATCCCTAGTAACAAAAACTGGTTTGGACATGTCTTCACAAACCAAATGATAATAAAAAAAATTGTGATATTTTTACGCACATATCCGACAGAGTGCTTCAAGCTACAAAAAGTAAGATTTACTTGTACACAATGTTATTTTAACCAAACAAAAAAAACTCTTACAAAAGCTCTGAAGAGATGCACAAGCACTTAAAGTTTCAAAATATCTTTATATTATCAATAGTTTGATGGCATCAGTATGTAGAAGTGCCTGAACATGGACTTCCCTAAGAGTAGTTCTGTGGTAAGGAATAGCACATCTTCACACAAACAGTTTTTAAGTCTTGGATTGTGCCCACTTACCTTGCCACCCACTGTTCAAATATTTGTTACATGACAGATTTGCAGCATGATATTTGATACTGTTTGAAGAGATCAGTTTTCACCTACTACTCTGCAATTTTTTTCACACCGGAAGACCTCAATGCTTCTCTAGTGGTGTATGCTTTAGGTTGAAAGCTGACAACAAACAGTGCAGTCGTAATAGTTTATGAGTGTGCACAAGCAGGGTGCAGTTGAGGGGACTGTTTCCACATTTGCAATTTAGATAATATACCAGACTTCTACTGACCAGCATTCGCAACCCATCTGTGGGGTTCTGAAAAGAATAGAATTAAATTGGGTTTCCCATAGTTCACTACGCATGCAAGCGCTTTTTCACTGTACAGTGGGGTACAGAAATAATTCGATTTTTTTTCTAGAGCACCACATTTGCTGAAAAAATCTTGTTGTTCAATTGAATGCTATGATCATGTTGGAAGGAATCTTTCCCCGATACTTAGCCATCTATTTTTGGAGTGCAAGAGGTGTCTAATTACATGTAATTAGCCATGTGTCTTCAAAATCAGATTGCAAATGTGATGATTAATGTGGAAGTGGTTAGGTGAGCTAAAAAATCATAGTTACAATTAGGCATGCATGCAACCAGCAAAATGGAGTGATAGCATAGAATGCTTGGATGGGGTGACTTATATAATCCATTTGAAGATGTGAAGCACATTGCACTGCCACATATTGAGATTGTGAAGCACATACAGATTTTAGAAGTGTTCTTTTTTGGTTTTGGACATCATTAGCTTCAGTGACTCCTCTCTGTTAAACTAGAAGTTGGTTTGTGTTGTTTGAAGGCTTATAGCAAGCACCATGAAGTACAGAACATTGTCCCCTATGCAGAAGAATCAGATTGTGGGGATGAGGAAGGCTGGGATGAAGTGTAAGGACATTGCAGAAGTCTTCAGTGCTCCCTATTCCACCATTTCAACTATCTTGAGTCATTGGAAGGTCCATGGAAGTGTGGAGTCGTTGAAATCACAATGTGGCAGACCCAGGAAGTTGTCTGAGCGGGATTTTCGAGTGTTATGTCATGCTGTCAGTTCAAATAGAAGGCATACTCTGGTAGAACTTGCAAACTTGGTGAGTGTTTCCCGAACTACTGTTCGACTCTACCTCCATGAGCTTGGTTTTAGAAATTGTATAGCACCTAAAAAGCCCTATTTGAATGTCAAACATAAAGCAGATAGGCTTGCATTTGCACGTGCTTATGAGAGTTGGACGTTTGAAGATTGGTGTAATATTATTTGGACGGATGAGTCATCATTCAAAACTGGCAAAAATCCACGGCAAATTAGAGTGTGGCGGAAGGCATACGAAAAATATAATTGGGATTGTATAGCACCAAGTTTTAAGTCTGGGCGTAGTTCAGTGATGGTTTGGGGTGCCTTTACTGGCTTTGATAAGTCTCCATTGGTCACCATTCCTTCAAATAAGAGATCATCAAGTGATTTTGTCACTATTGTTTATGAAGGAGTATTAATTGGCTTTTATTTCTTACATGATGACCCTGAGCAATTGATATTGATGGAGGATGGTGCTCCAGTCCACCGTAACTCATTGCCAGTGCAATGGAGATGTACTCATGGTATAGAAAAGTTGTTTTGGCCTGCCAATTCACCGGACTTGAATCCAATAGAGAACGTTTGGATGGTTGTAAAAGATTTGCTCAAACATCATAGTAGACCTAATAGTAAGCTAGAAATGATAGAAAAAATTCAATCCGTATGGGATACCATATCTATAGAGTGGCTTCGTACATTGATTTCCACTATGCCTTATAGGATGCAAGCGGTGATTGCAGGGGGTGGTAGTACGAGATGGTAGATAGTATGTAACAAAAAGCTCTCTTGATGTATATTTTCACAATTTTATAATGAAAAATTGTTACACCATGAAACTAGATTCTACTATCTTTGCAATGCACTTTACGGCTCAAAAATGCGTTCATTTTTGAAACTGCTGGAGCTTTTTGAAGTTCAGTGATTTCTAACACTGATTCACTTTGGAAAAAAATTCGAATTATTTCTGTACCCCACTGTAGAGTGTACAAGTACATCCTCAGATTCTGCACCCTCTTCTGCCCAGTACATTTCGGGAATTGGCTATTAAATAACTGAGCAGAAATAATCCAGATCACACCGTGCGTAACTTAATCTTGCGATTTTTGTCTCACCGTTTGACTTCTTCATCCAAAGTTGTATCAAATTCTCTGCATCTTTGTATGTATGTAGAAGAATTTAAATGCCAGGGAAGACAGGCTTCACAGTGCTTGCAATGACGTCAGTGCTGTAACTAGAAGCAATCCAGATAAGCCATCCGTGCATCCAGCATTTCCTTTCCACCAAGGTCATTCACATTCAATACAACGCTGACAGCTATTGAAACAGCAGAAAACCAAAGAATAAAGAATGTTGTTATAGAGAAGATTTAATGATTGACCTGTAAAAAGCACTGCAATAATGTCATGAGGTGAAAACAAGCGTTAAAAACCAGCTACCACAGATGAGAACAATTGAAACCTACACAAGAACCAAGAGTGTCATTAACTTGACGAAATTTAAATGTCAACAATTCATGTGAAATTAGAGCAAGGTCGACAGATACGACAAGCACACATCCATAGTTCACGTAAAAACAAGACATCGTTAACATGCGAAACAAGCACTCAAACGTTTTTTTTTTTTTTTGACGGGTCCCAAAACTGCACTGCAATGTTAGGAATATTGGCGGTTATTAGATCGCTCCAATTGAATTCTTAAGTGTGACTTAGAAGATTTCCAAGGCAAATAGCAAACTTATTTTTAGACAAGAATAACCACCTTCGCTTATACTGCAACAGTCTAAAAAGAAATCTTGAAAATGTACCAATAGACTCATTCAGCTAGAAGGAACTCGGGTTTGTTGCACTTGATTCGAATTCTACTTCAAATCCCTCAAGATTATATCAGTCATGGATTTCCATGACTAGTAGCGTTCCACTCCCGCCTGACAGAGTTTAGTGCATGACTTTGGAGTGATCAACCACGCCGTCTCCATGACCTATCGAGTTTTCCTGTTCGCCACACCGTATCTGGTGGGTTTCTTCATCAGGTGCCACACAATTAAACGTGAGATGATTTAACGAGTACATGTGAGAGGGAGCACCATCTAAGCACATTTCAAGATTGTCAAAGCACCCAATTGCTTTCAGTTATTGCACAAATGTTGGACCACACAAGTAAGAAATCTTTCGGAGAAAGCATAATACCTCTTCTGGTATATGGTCACGAGCGCCATGAAGCGAAACGTGGCATTGGGGTGGAACAGCAGAGGTGTTGTATTTCAATTGGTCACCGTTTACCCCCATCTTTACCTTCCTGGAGAGAAACTCATGCAGAGTCAGAAAAATATTACTTTTGATCAATCAAGCGCGCTTCCGCTCCAAATTCATCATGCAATCAAGAACGTGATAGATAAATCAAACCTGGGTAACAGTAAAATTACTTCTTCCCAAAATGAGTATTATCATATTTCTTATAGTTCTTGTTCCGTTGTGTCTTCTGAAAATCAATTTTACATCAAATTCTCTTATCTTGTCATGCCTGCAGACAAAATCGAGTATCGGCGAAACTAGCCCCAACAGTGTTGACTAACTCGTTTGTATTGTTACTAGAGACAATCCTTAACAAAAACAACTCATGCCACGTCTAGCACAAATAGTATGTCGTTTATACTCGGCGTTATTATTGAATGAAATAGTAATAACATAAATTTACAGGCTCCGAAATAAGTATGAAAAGTTTACTTACAGAAAGTTTCCACCCACATGGATTCTGGCATCGCTAAAAAGATTCCACGGAAACGAAATCGACAAAGCATCCATTACGGTAAGTGAATTTAAACGAAGCCCAGAAAACAATAAAAGGTAACATATATTAAAGGAACCCTACCCACTTTAGCCCTGTCAAAATGACCCAATGCATAACACCCATAATCGATGCAAAACCTCACAACCTGCACGGCAACACAAAATCTGACACCATGAGAGCGAGAGAAAGAGAAAAAAGAGGTTTCTGTTTGAAAGCTACTAGTTCCCTTCGACCCAAGTAACGCAGTGAGGAACCTTTTGTAGCGCAATTAGTTAAACGCCTCCTTTCTCTTGTCACGAATTACGAGTAATGCACCATAGCCCCTGCTCCTCTAGACATACCTGCCCAGAGGGCTTTCAAAGTTGAAAAACCTCACAACGGAGCCCGGGCGGTGCGGGGCGGGTGGGCGTAACATCCGTCGGGCCCAGGATGAACACAGCGAGCTATTTGTTTTGGTTTTCATCCGAGTGAATGGAGGGTTCCGAGGCAACCAGCTCTTGGGAAGGTTTTTGGTGGGGGGCTGGATTAGTCTTTTCTTTATTGGGTTCGCTAGCGCTGATATGGTTTGATGATTTTCAAGTGTGTGCATGGAAACGCAAAATTCGAAAGTGACAAGGAGATTGTGTCTGCAGTTTTTAAAAAGCCCAGGGAACCTCGCAGACACAGGATTTGAATCTCGCTGAACGGCCATGCACAACTTGCCCTTAACCTCTCGCGCTCCCGTCTTGTGCCCTCAAGTTTTGCGTCTCGTGGTGTTGCCGATTGGACGGGGTGGTTGCCGATGCGAGAGAAGCCATGGAGAGGAGGAGTGATTGATCGTGGGTGTCGATTTTGTGGAATTGGGATCGGTGGTTGTTGATTGAAATCACAGCATGGGTTCAGGAACAGGGTGTGCGGCATGGTAGGCCAAGGAAAATGCAAGAATTTCGCAGGGCAGGTGAGCTTTCTGTCAGTGCCATGGAGGTGGTCTTTTGTTCCCGCCGCTGTGCTCCTCTGTGTGGAAGATTGCAATTGTCTGCCGGAAAGGATCGGGTAATTGTGCAGTTCATGAAAGAGATTATGCGTCATAGTGGGACAATTGATGCACGATAGGTTGGGAGCTTGGTTATTTGGAACTTCTTCTCTACACCGGAAGTAAGGACATGGTACCCTATGTGTGCTGGGAGGTTTTGTGGGGATAAGAGCAATGCTTTACGAAATCATTATTGGGACAGTGCCGATTGAGTGGGTTTTTGTCTCAAAAAATTAGCGAACTCGTGAAGTGCAGTCGGAGATGGTACAATATGTTTTTCTTTTCAATCTGTAATTTCCGTTTTTGTTTTCGCAACTGGCCTAACAGTGACTTCACACTTTTCTTGTCTTGTTGCTTCTAGTACTCACTTTTATGTGAACGTATTCTGTATTGATCTGGAAAGACGCATAGACCAGTGTGTGGCGATCGATGAGGTCGTGAAAGCGTGCAAGCGTGTGGGAGGCTTGAAGTGTAAGAAATGGAAAGAGGAGGAGGGCTCATGAATGGAAATGTTGAGCATTCTCCTACCGACATGGAAGTTAATAATCATGCTCAGCCTGCCTTCAGCCTTACAACCACCCAGGTGCAGGACATGAAAGTCTTGCTGAGCACTCTCTCTTTGCTTTCCCGAAGCGTGCAAGTTCCAAATAAATTATTCGAGAAAGTCTCTTCGATTGCTCAACGAGGTGGTTCGTACTCTGAAGCGTACAAGGTGAGTTAGATCCTGTGACCTATCATTAAACACGATCAGCATTATGTCACCCTCCTGCGATCACTCTTGGGCCTTGCAATATACTTTGATGAGAAAAACATGAACGTGGGGCTTGGTGATTAATAATTTATGCTTGGCAATGATACATGGGTATTTGAGATTCCTAAAACATGATTATCAATTTTTTGATGGTTTTTCTCGACACTTGTAGGTGCGCAAGTCGAAATTTCCTGCAATTTTCTACATTGATTTTCGCTGACTCTGGTTCTTTAGGGTTCGATGCCTTCCTGGTTACTTTTCATCCTCTTGAAATTGCAGTATCGTTTAAACCTTCTCCGTGGTTGTACAGAGTGACGCTTCAATTGGACACGAAAATAGGGTGAGATCGGGACCTCCCTTGCAACCACACCACTCCAAAAGCCCACAGCCTGAGGTACCTCAGACTGTTACATTTGTCCAAGAGAACGGTGACACCCTGAAAGCTCAAAGCACTGAGTTGAACTCTGAGCTACGAGTTGAGGGCCCCTCAAGTGCTCAGGGGTGCACCAACACAGCCCATGCGCACGTTTCAGAGGGTCGCTTGGTTCAGAACTACAGTACCACCCAATCTGAGCCCTCAGAGAAACCTCTTACTTTTGACGAAGGATTGCAATTACCAAAGTCATTAGAGAAAAGTGAGCAGAGTAAATCTGCTGGTGTGTATCCACAGGAACTTGAACGATCAAAACAGATTTCTTCGGAGGGGGCACAGCCAGGTTCAGCAGAGGATGTCGGTTCACCATATGTTCCAGGTCACTTGCTTGCAGAGCTCGACGCAGCCATGCTCGACAATCAAAGGTTCATGACATCCGCAGAATTACGGAATAAGGAGAAATTTCGCATGGACAGCAAACTTACCCACCGAATTCAAGAGATCAAAGATTTGCCGGCTTTTTCAGAAGAGAAGGTTCGACAAATAAATCTTATTGAACAGTATTCTTTAGACTTGTTGAATTTGCAAAAGAAAGTGAGGGCCGAAGTCTTGCAAGAGCTTCGATTGAAAGAGTTGTGCAATTCACCGGACTCTCGAGTCTTCGACTGGGGTCTCATGCGGATACGACGGAGTGGAACATCCTATTTGAACTACGGTGATATGGGTATATATATTAACTCTATCATTAAGCCTGCTTTTTGAAGCGCTCTGTTGCTCTCGACATCGAATTCCTGCATCATTCGAAATTTTTGACACTTTCGATTAATTATTACCCTGTGACTTGGGCATTGGTGTTTTTCTGTTGTTAAATACTCTCTGTGTTATGTCAGGACATGCCATGGCTCCAGAAGCTGATGAACGTCAGAGAAGAAAACGAGAAGCAGAGAGACAGAGAAGACTGGAGGAGGAAGAGAGGACAAGAGAGACCACTCGAAAGCGGAAGTTTTTCAATGAACTCCTCAATATGTCAAGAGAATACCAGTTGCAAACTCAAGCTGCCATTAAACGGAGGAAGCAACGAAACGACGGTGTTCAGGCTTGGCATGGGAAACAAAGACAGAGAGCAACTAGAGCAGAGAAGCTGCGCTTTCAGGCACTTAAATCTGATGATCAGGAGGCATACATGAGGATGGTCGAAGAGAGCAAGAATGAGCGGCTTACGACGCTCTTGTCTCGAACCGATGATCTCCTCCAACGGTTGGGGGCTATGGTGCAGAAGCAGAAAGACGCTGAACCCGAGGATGCATTCATCGTTAAGAAAGATCACAAACCTCGAGGGCATCCTAAGGATGCAACCAGAGATTTACTCGACAATGAAAGCGTCGACGCTGAGGCGGGGTCCAAGAAGCGGGACCTTCTAGAGGGGCAGCGACAATACAACTCAGCTGTCCATTCCATTGAGGAGAAAGTGACAGTGCAGCCCAAAATGCTCCAAGGCGGACAGCTGCGAGCATACCAGATTGAAGGACTCCAGTGGATGCTATCTTTGTATAACAACAACCTTAATGGGATACTGGCAGATGAAATGGGGTTGGGAAAGACTATTCAAACTATTGCGCTGCTGTCATATCTGCTTGAAAATAAGGGCGTCGTTGGCCCACACATCATAATTGCGCCCAAAGCAGTGTTGCCGAATTGGGCTCATGAGCTGTCGACATGGGCGCCAGGCATTCAAACAGTTTTATACGATGGGCGCGCTGAGGAGCGGAGGCTGTTGCGGGAAGAGTATGGAGGTGAAGGGAAGTTCAATGTGTTGGTCACCCACTATGATCTTATCATGCGGGACAAAGCCTTTTTAAAGAAAGTCAAGTGGAACTATATGATTGTAGACGAAGGTAATTCGCATCCTGCCTTGGATGGTAATTTCTGTGGTCGGTGTGTGAGTTCTGATAGTATGGATATCATTGTTGGTAATCTTTTCAAATTTTTAATAAGTTTCCTGGTTTGTTCACGAGCGTTCTGGTTCTTGTTTGATTATCTTTTTGGGTAGACCTCTTTGTTGTTCTCATGAGGCACTTTGGCTGATGCAGGTCACCGTCTCAAGAACCACGACTGCATGTTGTCCCGAACTCTCACTACTGGGTACCACATCCGGCGAAGGCTGCTCTTGACTGGAACTCCAATTCAGAATAGCTTGCAAGAGCTGTGGTCCCTCCTCAATTTTCTACTCCCAGCAATTTTTAACTCTAGCGAGAATTTTGAGGACTGGTTTAATGCCCCCTTTACAGATCGGTCCGACGTGTCTCTGACAGAGGAGGAACAGCTTCTTGTCATTCGTCGGCTTCACCAAGTCATTCGTCCCTTCTTGCTGCGACGGAAGAAAGCCGAGGTTGAGAAGTTCCTTCCTGGCAAGACGCAAGTTATTCTCAAGTGTGACATGTCCGCATGGCAGCGGTTGTATTACAAGCAGATCATGGAGTCTGGGCGGGTTGGGTTGGATATTGGCACAGGTAAATCACGAGGGTTGCTGAACACTGCCATGCAATTACGAAAGTGCTGCAACCATCCCTACCTTTTCCTCGAGGGCCGAGACTATGAACCTGAAAATCGTGACGAGCTCATACGATCGTCAGGGAAGTTTGAGCTTCTAGACAGGTTGCTACCTAAGCTGGCCAAGACAGGTCACCGTGTGCTCTTGTTTTCCCAAATGACACGATTGATGGACATTCTAGAGGATTATCTGGAGTGGCATGGCTTCAAGTTCCTACGCCTTGACGGAACCACGAAGACAGAGGAGCGGGGCACACTCTTGCAGAAGTTCAACGCACCTGATTCCCCCTACTTCATGTTTCTATTGTCCACCCGAGCTGGTGGCCTTGGGTTGAATCTTCAAACTGCTGATACGGTCATCCTCTTCGATAGCGACTGGAATCCACAGATGGACCAGCAGGCGGAGGATCGCGCTCACCGAATTGGGCAGAAGAAGGAGGTTCGTGTGTTTGTTTTGGTAAGCGTGGGTTCGATTGAGGAGGAGATTCTGGAGCGGGCCAAGTCGAAGATGGGCATTGATGCGAAGGTTATCCAGGCAGGTCTGTTCAACACTACCTCCACTGCACAAGAGAGGAGGGAGATGCTGGAGGAGATAATGAGGCGGGGTTCAGACGTGATAGGCACAGATGTACCAAGCGAGCGCGAGATTAACCGCTTGTCAGCCCGTGGAGACGATGAGTTCGATATCTTTGAAGAGATGGATGAGGAGAGACGGCAAGGGGAGGGCTACAAGACGCGACTGATGGAAGAGCACGAGGTGCCAGAATGGGTGTTTTTAAATGGTCCTAAAGGCGAAGACGGAAATCAGGAGGGTGACACTGACAGGAAGCAGGTCACAGGGAAGCGAGCTCGGAAGGAGGTTATGTATACCGACGTGCTGAGCGATTCTCAATGGATGAAGGCCATCGAGGACGGCGAGGACGTTGGAGCAGCTGTCAAGGTGCAGCTCACGAAGCGGTCCAAGAGACGAGAGCAACAACAAGCTGCTCTTGAGCAGGAAGTAGCTGAAATGCTCGAAGGTGATGAAAACAGTGACGACGCTGAAGATGAAACTGCTGCCGACGCTGAAGATGAGTCAATCACCGAGCACACTGAGCTGCAATATGAAGAAGCAGAAGTCAAGACAACCGAGAACAAGACGCGGATTGTGATCAAGAGGCGGCACCACACAGAGGAAACCAAAACCAAAAGCCCCACAGCTGTTAAAGAGAGTAGTGAGAACCGTTTGCGGCTCGTCCTCGTAACTAACGACAAAGCTACTGCTAACTGGAAGGGTCTGCAGCGCAAGCGATCCAGACACGCAGCCTCCGTTTCGGAGGAGCAACCTAAAGAAAACATTGATCATGAAGGTGATGAGACCGAGGATGAGGACGAGAGCATGTAGCTCAATTGACTGATTTGTACATTGACGTGCGATTGCACTTATGAGCTCCACCTTTTACCTCAGCTGGTTGTCTTAGGAGGGGTTGTAGGATTAGACCCTGAAATTATACTTTTGCGTCATCTCATTTTATATTACCTGAGGCATTTGTCTTTCCTGATCTCATCATTCTTTTGCCCCATTTTTGTGGATTCTTTTGCACTCTCGACAAGACAGGACACGTACATGTTCGAATTCTCCTTTGTGCGACCAAGAAGCATGGAGCACTAGCTTCTGACCTTGTTTTGGCAGGATCATAATTTCTCGTTGTTGCGGACTGAGCGATGATAATTTCTCGTGTTTTCACGAAGGATAATATGGAATTCAGCAACATGATCTGTGTATAAATGAAATGATTCGCACTGCCTGGGTAATGTGCAAATTCGGATTTGAGTCGGCTGAGTGCTGTAGTGAGAAGGTGTCCTCTCGTTGTTTTTCACCACATAATGTGACGTTCTCCTAACAAGATAGAAAAACTCGTTAGAATTATTACAGAGATTAACGTAAACTGCAAAGTGAACTAAGCTTCCTTGAACTTACATGTTTCCATTTCCATGATGTCCTCAATTTGTCGGACTGTCATCAATTTGTCACATTGCCGGACTGTCATCAATTTGTCTAGCATAAACAATGGTCTGCAATGGAACAAACAGTTGCAGAATTTTAGCGGATAAATTAAAGGTTTGAACAATGAAATCCGCAATCTGCCCTCACTAGAGCCTCTCTTTCGTATACCCATATCGAGTTTTTGGGTTACATTGATTAAGAACGAAGATTTCGCTGAGTAGGATTTGCTTGTAGGTGTTACAGAAACTTAGTATAGAAGTCACTGCTGCTCTGACCTTCAGCACTAAGATGTCAATGTAAGCTGACATTCTTACAAGAATCAGCATGCCGTGAGCAAACAAATGCAATATTCTGAAGAGGGATCTCCTTTGTGAAGCTGCTTTCGGTGTCTACATTATAAACAGAAAGGTGATGCACTTTACTGTAAATACTAATCACGACTGTGGATGTGTTTGACTGCTACAAAGACTTGTTCTACGATCGTTAACGAGAAAACTTGTGGTGGTCCTGTTTGTCATGACCACAAAACAAGCAAGAATGATGCCAGAGAACTCCGGCAAACTCTCAGCCTATTCTACCAGAGTTGTCTAGGAGTAACGCCGCTGAAAAGAAAATACCAGCAGACTCAATGCCAAGTTTTCTGCCAATTGAGTATTATTGCCCAAGCTGTGCGCTATTTTGATATTGAACTCTTCTGCATGAAAGCAAATGGGGCACCCAAACAGAGGGATTCACGAAATTGTCGAGAAGAGGGTGATGTGGTGACACCTACGACATCCTTTTGCTATTGCACATTCCTGAACACTGTTGTTGCTGTTGCTTCTAATGCCTATATTCAAATCTTGTTGATATTTGCCAGGATGGGTAAAAATGTACAGTTAGTATAAACCCATGGAGGGCATTATTACAAAGCCAGATAACACCACCTTAAACACTTTGCCATCAGTTGTCAGTGCTCAAGGAGGTTACATTCACGTCTTCAATTTGCCAGAGCTTAGAAGGAACCCTTCCAATGCGTTGGACTAATGACTCTCTGCAGCAATCAAGTTTTAGTTAGTTTTTGGCTTACGTTTTTTCTACAACCCTTGCAGCATTTAGCTCTCTTCAGATCAAAAGCATGAATGTACTCTGAGATAGTAGGTATTGTGGTGCTACTCTTAGAATTACTTGAAGACTTTGGGGGTTGGTGAATCTGTTGTCTTCCTAAGGATCAATTTTTCTCTAGATCTCGGATCCTTTAAGAACAGAATTCGTTCTGTAGTTGATGTCATGGAATACTTTGAAATCTCAGTAATAACTAACACAATCTTCAAAATAGGAATTGCATATTTGGATTCGTCTGGAACTTGCAGAACTTCCTGTGTTAGGGTTAAAGGTTTTGGGAGACCTACGGCGTGGGTTTTGAGCTTCTTGTTTGTGTCCGATTTCTTTCTGAAACCTCCTGATCAGATCTCAGGTCATGCGTGATGAAGTTCACTGTTCTGCCGCGTCGAATGTCAGGGTTTAAGTTTTGATAGGGTTAGCTTTCATGGTTTTCGTGTTGTCCAATTGTGAGAATGGGGTTGGAACTGTCAAAGGTGAATTTGCTGTCACGAGCTCCATTGCCGGATTGCAGGTGTCAACTCCTTTGTATTGTAACCGGATATTTGTTATTTGTTTTGTTTTGCTTCTTATTTCTTTTTTTCGCAACGGGTTTGGCAGGGTGATGGCCCATGAGTAGGGCACGATGACGAGAATCAATGTTTGAATGATGCTTCAAAAGAGCGTGTTCAACGGAGAGAAGCGCGGCAAGTGCCGACTCCATCAAACCAGTTGTAACGAAGGAGGCAGGTAGTGCATACTTAACTTGTAACTCACCTTCTGTCGGCATCCTTTTCGCTTTGTTGTTATTATCCTTCCATGGCGAGTAGTCATTGCGCCCACGAGAGTCTCTGTTCTTGGGTGCCTGGCGATGCCACATGATACTCAACCAGCAATGTGGATACGTAGTTTGAATGAGTCATTGGCTCACACCGTAGTGGGAGCTGGTCCCATTTCCGTTACTGTTTAAGAACGAACTAATTTTTTCTAAAGATTTTATTTCAGGTTTCAAAAACTGTAAGATCACCTGGAAAAAAGGAAAAATCCAAGGGTCTGCATATTCCTGCAGGAGCTGGCACATTTGTGTCTTACAGCGTCCCTCCTTGTAATGAGGAAAATTCACTGTCGCCGAAAACAATCCATGGCTGCTTTGGCAGCTGACCTCGCATATTTCTTTTGTAAGTTTCTTGCCATAAGTTGGACTGTGCCGTACAAATGCGTCGACAAGAATATTTAATTCAACAAGTAGATGGCTTATCAATGTTGTGGTTGTGAGGAGTAACTCACAATGCTCTGTGATATCAAGTACTGAAGTGGACGGCAAATAATGTGTTCTTCGTACAATAGTTGTTCATGAGAGGCATCAGTTATGACCTCTTTAGCTGTCAATGAAGGCAGGCGAACAATCAACACAAGCATAGCTTTTCCTACAGTTGATGTATGTGCGTTGGGTTGCAGGAGAAAAACTGATCACTTATCCAAGGAAGTGTTCTTTAACAGGCCCACCTAGAATGAGAAACAGAGTCGACGTATCCAACAACAGGACCTTGCAAGACGTGTATCAAGCTTATTCCCAGCTACCATTTTCGCAGAAATCAGTACATACTGTGGGACGACAAATCACTATAGTGACAGCACTTACGACGTAGTCTCTCCGTACCTAACCGTGACATTATTAACTGCGGACAAAGCACTATACTATCAGTAAGAGAATTGTAAGATATATTCAAGTAGCGAAGATTTTTAGATAAAGCTTCAAAAAATCATATTAAATCAGCTTTTACTAATGAACATTTTGGGGTCACAAACTGCATGGTCATTATAAGCACTTAAATCGAAAAGAATATATATATATATATATGTGTGTGCCTTTTTAGTGAGCTAGAGTTATACGATTACAGGGCTAGGGATTTAGGGTTAAATCCTACTTGAAAGCACCATGCGTCTCAGACCCCATAAAATAATAGACAAATCGATCACATGTTCATTCCTTATCTGCCTTTCCATACTCCAGATCTGCGTCACTTCTCAAAAGAGGCACATCGTCTTCTCTAAGCGGCTCCTTCACCTTGATGGTTGCCGACTTAGCTGCTTGAGTCTTAGCGTGTTCCACAGCCCAGCTATAGGTGATCATCCCCACAACAGCCATAAACATGCCCATTAGGTTCTTTCCAGTCAATATAGAGTCAAATAGAATCCAGCCCAAAGTCAGGACGCAAACCGTCTTCATATGCCCCAACACCTGTGACAGAAATCAATCAAATGTTTAGTACCTTAATTAGCACGTGCACATGGCGGTAGTAAGAACTCTCCTAATCAGAAAAATCAGAAAAATCACTTATAATACTGGATTCTATTGTTCAAGACCTCGGTTTGATTAAAAGCCATCTCATCAATGATACAGAGCTCTAATATTATACCTTCATGTTTATTAACAAGATTTAGCAGAAGTGCAGTTCCTGGACACTAAATACGAACAACCCACCTGGAATGTGACAGCAGAGAATCGTCCAATACACAAGTATTGGCTTATGTTACAGAACACCGCAAGTGTGCAGGAAAGAAGTATAAAGAACTGCACAGAATACCACAAGAAAATTATTCTTTTGCGCTAAGCAACAATTAAGCACAAATCTACTACCTCCCCCCCCCCCAATCTGTTTCCTGAGAATAAAATGAAAAATGCCAACACCTAAAAATAACAAGCGCTCCGTTATTGCAACGAACTCACTATGGGGTGCCAATACAACCAGTCCAAAATATGGAGAGTAAAACCAGCATGATTGCGCAGCACGCTACGATATCATCAAATCATAGAAAGGATATCCCCTTCTCACGACACATCAACCACTAGCTGCTCTAGTTTTCAGTTGAGTTACTGGCTTACAATGGCTCCTGCGGTGTACGTGTAGTTCAGTAAAACCTCTCCAATCAGAATATAGTCAACAAAGGGACCTATCACAATAAGTGAAGCCGCCTGAATGGGTGCCGTCTTGCTTAGAAGTTCAAATGAACCACAATTGTGTTTCTTTTGTAGCGCACCAATATACTGCAAGTAGCATTGACATAGGCTCGTCTTCAGTACCCTCCAGCCTTACTCAAGGGTCAACTTTTTAAATCTAAAAACAGAAGACGTAATCGATATACAACAGCAATAATAAAACTAAAAAATCAAAAGATGAAAACAATACAATAATTTTAAAAAAACAGAAAATGCAGCCGTATACATCCACAATCCAGCAAGAAACGACATGAAAGCAGCATCACCAAGAAAAGACGTAAAGCTTACAATCTGTTGCAGGGAGGTAGAAATCACTGCCACCACTGCAGCCGTAAATCCTTTGAAGTTGACATTCACATCAGTCACAGTACACACACCCACCCCGATCATGACAACAAAAACGGACATCTTCACTTCCCTAGTGTAAGTCTTGTTATGGAGTATCCATTCCAATATGCAGACAGTAGGTATCATACTCAGCTTCGCAATCTGTAAACAAGCCAACGACATGACCATCAGTCTAATCAAATATCACATAAGTCGAACGACCACCCTGAAAGACTAAAATGTCAATGCATCCTTCATATCATGTACTACGTTATCAAGGGCTTGATCAAAAGGAGTTATTCTTGACCAATAGCGCTTACATCATTGTAGTACTAACAAAACAAGCGTATAAAAATGATATAACTTCATCCTACAAAATTTATATATCCGACTTGATCACTGTATCTGTTCAATGCTCAATGGAAACTGGTAACCTTCCAGAGAAGTTGATAGACTTCAAATCAAATAAAAGAAAATGACGTATTTAAATCTAAATATAATTCAAATTTTAGTAAACACATATACACACACACTGGTTCGCCTAGATCATCCTGCAACTCCCTCTATAGTATTAGGAACCTTCGTTATCGCACACAGCTATTCAGGATCATACACCTACCTGGTAGAAACCCACTGAATTGAGCATGAGACTCAAGTTCATGGAAACAATCGAGGTATTTGACACTAGGGAGAATAGAAACAAATCTCTGAAGGGCAAATGCTTGGAAACGGAGTAGCCTAGAGAAGAAGATATGTAACCCACTGCGGCCGTCACTGTGAAGTGGAACGCCGTTAATGTCGTAGCTGCAGCAAGTACACGTATCAGCAAAACGATCACACAAATTTGACACAAATAATCACTGGTCGAATCGTGGAAAACTCTGCAAAGATCTAGAGCACACTAAACGAATACAAACGAACCTTTAATCTCGTGCTATTTCTTACCAAATCTGTAGTTGTAGCCCCCTACAGACATAACTTGCTTATTCGCCATGATGATCCCCACAGAGCTAATAATGTTCATTGCCCAAGCTCCGACATTTGAGACTCCACCTTTCTTGTCATCTTTCTTGTCATCTTTCCTGTCGGATTTGTCCGACATACTCTTTATTGAATTCATCGTGTCTTATTAGGAGTGACGTCTTACTCCCCCACCCTCCCAACTGAAACAGCTTGTCAACGGCAAAACAATACCTGTCTAGGACCTTCCCTGGGCCCTAGTTAGTTGACAATCAATGCCATGGTCCAGTCAACACTCTCCTCAAGCGAATGGCTTGTAGATCATGCCATGCACTGGCTAGGTGATGTTTCACAATGCCAAATGCGTTGAATGAACTCTCCAACTCAGATAAAGTGACGGCATCAACGAGTCCTACACAAACGGAAACCACCTTTAACATCAATCGTACCACACCCGAGTCTGCATGTGACATTCCTTACTCTACACCACAAGGATCAAGCAGAAACTAAGATTCGTGTTTTGTTCAGTTGACGACTACAACAAACCCCTGTATCTCAGAGAACCTGCTGCTCGGATTAAACTTCGCTAAAAGAAACTACCTTGAACTTCAGGAAACAATTTCTAGGACTTAAGTGGCATTTACGTTGCAAGACTTGAACAAAGTCCGAACTGCTAGCATTAGTGATCGACAGTAGGATCAAATGCTGAAGCAAGCTAATGCGATAGAGCTCAACGCTTCAATGCAATATGCTTGGGCAAGCTTCTTCCTTCATGGTTTCGAGTCCTCATCTAGCAAGGGCCAACAAATCTGGACATTGAAGTTTTAAGTTTAACGTGCAGCTTCACACAATCTGCGACACGGACGAACCATTGGCCCGAGAAGCTCAGCGAAATCGCCCGGAAATATTACTCATACTGCCACAGATGTGTAAGGCCATGTTGACCCAAGACCTACAGGGAAATACTACATACAGAGAGCAACCTAAATAATTACTGAATCGACTGCAGAAGCATTACGACCAAAAAACCAAAAAGAGGCGCACAGCGACTGGAGAAACTATGGATAGCCTTGAGACTGATATTAAAAGCTCAAATGCGCACTGACCACTGAACGACAGGGTAGAGGACATGCTAGATTCGAGGATTATCCATACAGACCAAACCTACCCGAAAACCTGTAAAACAAGCTGCAATCCTCGTCACCTGAGAATATTCTCGGCAGAAATATTCAACATTCACAAAACGAAAAAACAAGACAATATGAGATCTGACCTAAAGAAGCAACAGCACGCCCTCTTTATGAATGGTAAAAGCAGAATGCCATTTCACAACTGCATTGCACTACATTGTGTGAAAAATATATATGCTTAACGACATGCCTGAGAATCCGACAGACTCCACACGCTCTCCTCTGAGAGACTTAATAACCTCAACATCGCTAAAAAATCATACCACAACCTCGACCGCTCTGCCAAGATCTCCTCGTCGCATCCTATACAATCCCATGATCTCGCTTACCTAAGTTGATACTACGGCGATGAATCGGCAAAGCTCCCCAGCGACAAGACTAACAACAAGCACAATTTCTCGCTCGAGCAGAGCAGTAATCCACCGCACTCCAAGCTGCGTCCCGGAGGCAGAAGGACAGAGGAGACGAGACCAGGCATTGCGAAGCAGGACGGTGTGAAAGGAGCTCTCCAGACCTACTTTTGCGACTGGCCTCGGCTTGGAAGGTAGGAAGAGGAAGGTAGCTGGAGGGGGGGGGGGAGCGATTTCAGGCCCTCTATTGACAGTCTCTGACGATCGATGAACTGTGCATGCATCCACACCAAATGCACATCCACGTCCACATCCATCCAACGACGACTATGAAGACAAATAGAACAGCCAATAATATAGGGTTTGTGTTGTACTTAGTGTTTTACTTTGTGTTTAAGATAATGGCTAATTCCTCACCTCATTTCCTCTTTCTTTTTTTTCTAGTGAAACCACAATACTAGTCAAACTACAAAAGGGAATCAAAAGGGTATCACCCAATTTGAGCTGTGTATTGAAAAAGCCATTCTAAAATGTAATAGGAGTGTACATGTGTGTAAATGTATGTATGTATGTATGTATGGAATGTAATATGAAGTGTGGTCAATTTCATATTTTTATTAATTAAAAAACATTATTTTTGTACTAAAATTAAAATCGAAATAAAATCAAGCTATGCATTGCTCTAGATAGTTTGTTTTGGAGGTTTTCGATTAGCTTTTGTCTAGTTGATTGATTTGCAAGTTGGAAACCACTAATGATGTATGTTTATACATGTAATTTTGTATACAGTTTGATTTTTGACAATCCAAAAGTATGAATTCCTTTTGTCTGTATGATTGATCAGTTAATGTCTTTAAAGCTCGTTAATTACTTGTTAAGAGTTCATGTCAATATAAACTGCAATTGTTTTATTTGATATCTTCCAACTTATTGCTCACAAGTATATGCTAAGTATTTGTCCGAGTACTATTTTCATTTCTTTTTTTACATTTTATGTTTCAAAATTTATGTGTATATATATACACACGTACAAAATTTATTTTATTTAATAAATCGAGGGTTTATGTTGTGAATTTATTATAGTTATAAAATAAACATATTACTTAGATCTTACACCTAGACATACATACACATATGCATGTAAATGTGTGTGTATTTATATACACAGGTATTATGGCATTGAATTGTATAAATTCTTTTTAAATTTGAAAATATTTGCATTTGTCAATTGTGTTTTCTTCAACAGAGTTTATTTATCTCAGATATTCTGACAGACCAAAAAATATATATATATTTTTTAAAATCCATTGGTACATGAAAATATAGATCAATGATTTCATTGATTTTCCTTGAGGTAAAGATATTATTTTTTTTAAAAAAATGTATTTGAAATATTTTTCAAATATAATGTTTGGATTTCAATCAAACTATTGGAGCTAAAATTAAAAAAATAAAAAAAAATAAAAAAAAATCCTGTTTCCTTTTCAAATTTGTAGAAAAGCTATAAATAAATAATAATTTTAAGCTTTAAAATCTAGTCTGATATATTTTTGTCAGTCTGTTATCATACAACAATAAATTAAATATGTATTACAAAATATAAACAATTAGACAATCATTTGATATTTAAAATTCTTGAAATTTCTTTAAATTATCTTTAAATTCTAATAACAGATGTTGAAATGTTGTGCTTTATACTACACAAAAAGCATGTAAAAGTTTCAAATATAATCATTTGAAGACTTGGATGAGTTTCATTTCAAGGATGCAGTTAGGTAGTATGTATTTTTATGAGACAATTTAACATACAAACCTGTCACTTATTCATAGAAAATTAAAATATTTGCACAAAGCTCTGGTGTATATATATATATATGTAGAGAGAGAGAGAGAGAGAGAGAGAGAGAGAAAAAAGGAGCCATAAATCTTTTTAATTTTGCAAGAGCAAACACACAAACAGCATGCGCATTGTCCAAGGGCTGCTTCACTTTAAGGCTGCTTTGTTTTTAAACCATAAGATGGCTTGGTCAACTAAGATGGCTATTTGGGACCATCACCAAATTAAAATAATTTCCATGTTACCAATAATAATAAACTCCATATTCATCTCTAAGGGGGAATGGTTGTTGACATCTCTCTCATTCACACACACACACATATATATATATATATATATATATATTGGCAAACATATCTACATTGAATCATGATTGTATTACTGAATTGACATGATCATGTAATATTTTACCATCAAAATTGTATACATGTAGCAAATGATTGAATAGTTTAATGTTGGATTGCCATTGCTTGAGTCCACATGTTGCAAGTTGAAGTTGAGACTGAATACATTTATTGCAATTCAGGAGCAATCCAATCAAGACTAAAACGTGCTTCAAATCAACAGAAACATTATCTAGTGAAAAAATAAGAATTTTCAACACATCCAACATAGAAATAAGCCTATTAACATTTAATTTCAATTCCTTCTATAGCATTGTTACCTTGAAGTTTTGTCAATACATTTCCACACTAAACACATCAACATTCATCCAACACATGTATTGATTTGTGTGCATACCGACATTCATCCCAACAATTCTTAAAACATTAATTTAACTTGCACCCCAAATTAATATTTATTTATGGCATGCAACTCCCATGAAGCAAGATATTGACTAAACCAGCACATGAGAAAGAAAAAATGCAAAAAAGAAAAAAGAAAACATGTTGGGTCAGAGCATGGATTAATTATAGGGGAATGGATGACTACAGATGAATGAAAATGGATGAATGTACGCTCATATATGGATGTATTTTGTCCTGAATGAACGGCCATGCATCCACTTTGAAACCTTATTCTAATATCTCTAGATCTTAATCTATTGTCAATAGGAACTGAAACAAATATCCCAAGTATAAATACACCCCTACAATTGAAGAAACAGCACCTTTCTTGTGGGAATAGTGGAATGTACCGATTTGTTTCTGTTCATGCGAATAAAGGGAACCGTCAGAAACTCATCCCAATAATCATGGGGAACATGGGAACTTGACGATGCAGAAAGAACAGTGTGCAGGGTATTAGTGTGGTGGAGAAGCCACATGGGATGTAATCACGGTGTCAAAGACATATTAAAAAAAAAATATATATATATATATATATTTCAAGTCTCCGAAGCCTGAATAGAATATTCCGAAGCACCTCCAGATCCTCATGGAGAGCGATTCCGTAGTGGAATCGTCGTGGAGACCAACTCGGTGGCTAGTTCCATCTACCTATCTGCCTGTTCAGGGAGGTCGAAAACTAGGGTTGAGGCAGGCTCCTTGTTGGTGGGGGGGGGGGGGGGGATGGAGGGAGTCGCATGATCGCAGCGCTTATGTTGCACGATACAAACATGAGCTTCATGCAATGCGATGCGATGCTCTGTTTCGCCATATTATCGCTGTTCGTAATTGCTCGGCCATGTCGCTAGCATGCGATTGTTCATCACTTCACAGCGCTTTGCAGTGAGACCCTGAGTCGACCTCGTGCACTTTGAACGAGTCTTTTGCGCGCAGCGTAGCACGGATCTTAGCACTTCTAATTATCATTTGAGTCGAGGACGAGTGGTTGCTGCGCCACGGTAAGAGTGTGGAGGATTGTTGTGCGCGGAGAATTTCTGCGCCGTGCTACGATGCTTGTGGATTCGCGTGATGTGTTTACCGCAGGATTCCTTATTTATTTATTTATTTTGTTAATTGTTTGTTTAAAAATAATAATGGATTTGAGGATGAAAAGAGCACTGGGAATTGTGGATTTTGGTTTTGTCTTAATAAATATATAGTGTTTGTATTGACTAGCAGGTAGTTGTTGCATTTGTACCAAATCTAAATGGACTGTCGTTCGGTCTTACCGGTTTCACGAGTTTTTATTTTTATTTTTAAAATTTATTTAAGTAACTTTTTGTACCTAAAGGAATGACTTGTGAGCTTTGCTGTAATCTTTCTCGCGTTTGTTGCCGAGCGCGAATGTAATGTAACCTGATCTCTCAATGCTTGCTTTCATTTATCACTCTCTCTCCGTGTTAGCCATCCTTTTCGTTTTCGCCTCCGAGGTTAGTTGTCTACTGATTTTAATCGGTGATTCATCTATTGATGGTCAGGCTTTGTGTAGATTTTTTGATAAGTATCCTTCATCTGAGCTTTGTAGCCTCCATAGGTATTCGTGAATTGTAGCCTCCACATTGATGTTAACAGGAAAATCTTGCTAAGTCTCACTTCTGCGTTGAAATTGTGTGATCGAAATGTAAGAGCTCTGTGCTGTTGAAACTTGGTTAGTATTCAAGACGTTACTCGTCAGTCTCTGTCTCAGCACAGCTACAGAAATAATTATCTAAAGCCGTGCTCTGTTCTGTCTGTCTCTGATTGGCATATCTCGTGCGCAATAGATCCTCAACAACCAGCGTTGGGATTAATTGGTTCCTGCTGCTTTTGAAAGGATTTGTGGGCTTTCCTGGGTGTTTTTATCACTGCATTGTCACTCGTTAGTGTTTTACTGGAAAGTATTCCACTCTAGCTTGCATGATCTAGGAGCTTATGGCAGTAAGCTCCAGGTGACGGAAGGCGAACGTGAGATCTCTTTCGAGATTTAAGTGCGTCCTACAAACTTTTGCCGGTTTGAAGTTCTTAGCTAACAACAGCCATGATGACCTCAGTGAAGGCCAACATGGAGCTCCCTGTTGAAAAGAAAGAGGAGAAGAAAGCAGTTTCAGATGTTGGAGCCTGGGCTATGAACATTATCAGTTCTGTTGGGATTATCATGGCTAATAAACAGGTCATGTCGAAAGCAGGTTATGACTTCAGATTTGGTGAGGGTTTATATACAATGTATGACGTATGTGTCCTCTGGTCATATTTATTTCCGCCTTCGATCGTCTCTGTGGCTTGCGTTAGAGATCTCGAGGTAGACTCAATTTAGTAATGCACTTGGAGTTGAGGAGCATTGCGTGTTCATCTACGCCAATTCCATCGTATCTAATTAGTGTTTTCTGTCTCTGGATGCAGCAACAACTTTGACAGCGTTTCATTTCGCAGTGACGGCAGGAGTGGGTTATGCATCTGCAGCTATGGGCTATTCCGTCTCAAAGCATGTGCCATTTAAGGATTTATTTTTGTTCTCCCTGGTGTCCAACACATCCATTGTCTCAATGAATCTGAGTCTCATGCTTAATTCTGTCGGTTTCTACCAGGTATATAAACATATCCGAGCACATTGTTTCAGCAACAATTTCGGAAATTACGTTGATTTATTAATTTATCTTCTGCTTTTGGGACGAAATAATTGTCTTCTCCTTGCATTCAAGGTGGATTGTCGATGTTGAAAATGCCGAGATGTTGCCTCGTATAGCAGACGTGTGTTAATCAGATTTCTTCATTCCCTGAAACAGATTGCCAAGTTGAGCATGATACCCACTGTCAGCGTTCTGGAGTGGTTGATTCACAGTAAGACCTACACAAGGGAGGTCAAGACCGCCATATTTGTTGTTATGATAGGAGTAGGTGTCTGCACTGTGACAGACGTTAGTGTTAACCTTAAGGGATTTTTGGCAGCTCTCACTGCTGTGATTTCTACTTCACTCCAACAGATTGTAAGCTTCCTTTTACCCAGTAGCTTTGTCGTCGAGTAATTTAGTTTGTGCATCCTAGTTCAGCTCATGATGACTTGAAGAGAAACTACGAATTTGGTTGAAAAATCTGCTGTGTAGTTGTCTATTTACCGAGGCCTCAGTTTTTCCAATTTTGGGAGGGTTTCCTTCATTTTGTTTTTTCCAGTATGCAGTTTTTGATACGACGTTTCTTTCTAAATAAATATAATGGTTTAAAGAAATCTAAACGCAAATCATGATCTTCTGCAGTATATTGGAGCGCTGCAAAAGAAGCATAGCTGTGGTTCTTTCGAGCTGTTAAGCAAAACTGCACCTATACAAGCTGCATCTTTGATAGTTCTTGGACCATACGTTGACTACTTTCTCAATGGGCGAAACATTTTGGACTACACCTACACCAGTGGAGCCATTGTAAGTTGTAGATACTGCATTTGTGTTGTCATTCAAGATGTAGTGTTTCCAATTGGATGTTACAGATGTCATTCTCTCCTCTCTCGTAGGTGCTATACCAGCTTTATTTTGTATTGACTAGAAATTAGGGACTAACAAAATTTTCTCTCTGCAGCTATTTATAATGCTCTCTTGCTTTCTTGCCGTATTCTGCAACATCAGCCAGTACTTGTGTATTGGAAGATTCTCTGCAGTCACATTCCAGGTTAGTTAACTCGCTTTGTTATTGGTAGCTTCGACTTTCCTGAGTTTATATTAGTTTAGGCTGCAGTACGTCATGTGCATTTGTTATCAGGCCATCACTACCCACAACTGTCTTTGATTAACCGCTTTTGGGTGTGTTTACAATGATGAGAACAAACGACTGACACAGGCACGTTGTGAATGCTGATACCCATACCCTGTTTTTTTTGCTTGTAGGTTCTGGGACACATGAAGACTGTTTGCGTTCTTCTTTTGGGATGGATTCTGTTCGATTCTGTGTTGACCGGAAAGAACTTAATGGGCATGTTTATGGCAGTAGTTGGAATGATCACATACAGTTGGGCCGTGGAACACGCCAAGACACAAGCAGCTAAAACTACAACTGTTAAACACCTTGAGCCGAACGCATCGGAAGAGGAAGTCAGCACACTACTGAAAGGTGACTTGGAATTAGGAAAGACAGTTAAGTACTGAGTACGTTCTTATATTTAACATCTTCTACGGCTTGTACCCTACAAATGCCTTCTCCAGGAGCATTTCTTGCTCGGAGAGCACGTATTGAGTACTAGTGCTGAGGGCCTGACTCAGCTCATAACTGGAAACACATGATTAATGCATTCCTGAAATCATCACAGCAAGCTTGAGAGTGTAAGCTTGAGAGATAAGTTTTTTACTTTTTTTCTTTTTATTTTGCCCCTCTATCTCTGATCAGTTATTAGCGCGGGAACTTTTAGCTCCTTTTTGACCTCGCCTTGGCAATCAATTATTTATTCAATTTTTCCAGTGAAGCTGTTGTTTCTATCTCAGCAATTTTTAAATGACTTGGTTCTTACATCTGCTCCTACGCTGACAAGGAGGTCCGATGTTGGATTTGTACCCAAGTGGGTTCTCTTTCTCTTCTCTACTCCTCATCGTGCACTATGCGATGACCACAATGGTTTAAGCTAATCTATTTGCTTTGAACGGAAATCCTGTAGATCACAACAAGGCCATTCAATTTTGAGTGATGCGTCTATTTGACCACTTGAGAGATGTGACAGCATTTTCTCTCTATAAAATCCTCATAGATAATATATTTTTATTTATTATAATACATTATCAAAAAAAAAAACTATGTATGTATTAATTATGCTTTTAGAGTAAAAAAACATAAGTAAGATTTTTTTATAACAAATAACAATCTTATAATTATATATTAAATTTTAAGAAGATGCTCAACTATTATTTGTTTGTATTTAGATCTAACATTAGTTGGTTGCTTTTTATTTAGAGAATTTAATAATGTAATTATTTTGAAGATACTTAGTTTTCCATAAATTTCTTTTATATTAAAGTTTATATTTCTTTAAGAAAAAAATAATTTTCTCATGCATTGATTCTTATAGATTTTCTAAGTAATAATAGGAAGTTATAAATCTAAATAACTTCTTCTTATAAAACAAATTATTATTCTATTGTATAACAATAAAAGCTATACCACAATATGTTATGTAGATTCTTCTGTTTAGTGGATGTCAACAAAATATATAAGTAAAAGATTTTATTTTAAAAAATATGTAGATATTTTGAATAAATTGTTATGACTTTTGCACTTATAAAATATTTTTTTAGTAAATTTTTATATATTTGATATCTAATTTATTTTCTAACAATATGATTATCTGTAAGATATTTATAAAGCATTTCTCCTAAATTAATCAAATTATGTTTTATGTACATGATGTTTGAAAAGTATATATATATATATATATATATATATATATTATGTATTTATTTAAATTTTAATATTAATAGCAATGAGTTATAGTTTGTTTTTCATAATAATATTAATAATAATAAAAATAAAATCTAGAAACATTTTATCTTAAAGAATATATGATTGTTGAAATTCTTGTTGTTATATGTTTGTTAATATATATATATATATATATATATATATATATATACATACATACATACATACATATTAAATTTATTGATTATACATTAATATCTTATAGATTCTTTGTATCAAGCATTTTATGCACAAATTATGCGATTTTTAAATATACTATATGTACTTATACTTTAGTTATTATATAGCTAATAAAATTTCTTTATAATTTAATTTTAAATAGTTTTCACTCTTATATCTATTTAAAAACAAAGATTATGAAATTTCATTGTAAAGAATTTGTCTTTGATAATTGAAAACGAAAAAGAAAATAAGAAAATAATATTAATAAAAACACATTCTTTCATTAAGAATTTGTTTTATGATAAATACAAATTTTTGTATTTATCTAAAGTACTAAAAGCTGTTAAATTTTATTACATGTAATAAAAATATAGAAAAAATAAATCAAGTGAATTTAAGCATAATAAAGTGCTTAAAATGAAGCATTAATATGCAACATGTAGTTAAGATTTATAAACACCCTTAGAATTGTCTTTAAAATTTTTTACAATAACTATACATTTAAAAAAATCATCATTTATTTTTTTAAATACAAGTATTTTAATACTTTTTTTTTATTTTTTAAAATTTTTTTATAGATATTTTGGTATCTTCTAAGAGTCTTTTCAACTAGGAGGGTTGGAGCTCAACATAGGAACTTAAGAACTTCGAAACTTTTCCCTAGTGGTATTCTCAAGGGCAAAAATCCAAAGAATTTGGAGAGAGGTACCAAAATATTCATGCCATGTATATATCTCTACTACAAAATAAATTATTGTAAATAAAATGCATAATCTTTCATAATTAATTTTTTTTGATATCATAGTTTTTTAAAGTATATTATATAAAATTGATATCTTAAATTTGACATAATTGTTTTAGTTTGAATAAGAATTATTTGTTTATTATTAACATTAAAAATATTTTTATATACAATTTGGTTTTGAAAATGAATAAGTTGATAAAAAATTATACATATGTTTTCTAATATTTAAACTTATTAAAATTAAAAATCATAACAAGTTTGATAACTAAACTAACATGTTATATCATCTATTTAGAGAAGAAAAATATGTAATTCAAGTTTGAAACAAATTTATTTCTTTTGATATAATATAATCAATTATAAAAAAAAATTGAATAGGGAATTAATTTTCTACAATAAAGCAAATAAATTACATAGTCCAATACTTGAATTTATTGACATTAAAAAAGATACAATTTTTTTATGTATTTATTTTTCAGAATCTTCTAAAGTACTAATTATATTTAGAAAAAAATAACAATAATTATCTTTTACTTTGGATTGATAATTGCAAAAAAGTTAAGATAAAAAACATATTTGATTAAAAAATAAAATTTTAATATTTAAATAAAATTTATATAATAACATAATTGTAATATTTGTAAGTAATATAAGAGTTGGTACCAAATTTAATTTTTTATTTCTAATAAATATAATTTTTATTACATAAATAAATTTAAATAAATTAAATATATAAAGGTTTTTAATTTTTTTTGAGTAATTAGATATAAAATCATTTATTTGCAAAACTACATACAAATTATATGGTTATTTTGCTAATATTTGATCTAGAATAAATTTCATATATCTTGAAATATCAAGAATATTCCTATATTTTTAATAATAGAAAATATATTATTATATTTTTAATAAAATATAAAGGATATATTTACTATTATTAAAAATATAAAGATATTTTTGATATTTGAAGGTATTTGAAGAATATACATGAAAGTTTCTCTCTATTTTATGGTTTTTAGTATACAAGTACAACTTTGATCTCTACAATAGAGAGAGCTAATTCAATAGACAAACACACCATTTAGAACATCTAGAACAAAATCTTGTTAAATTGTAGTGACTTTAAAATTTATAGCATGTAATGTAGCTTTGATTATATAAGACTTCAACGAATCTTTTTTTTATAAGCCTCAATCAATATAATGTCTCTATTGCAAAAATTGATTCTTTTCATATATAAGGGACTTATAAAGCAAAAATTTATTTCTAATATCATTATATTGTAACTAACTAATTCCATTCAAAATATATCTTTCATATGTATATATATATATATATATATATATATATATATATATATATATATATATATATATATTTTTAACTAGTTTTCCCATGCATATTTATAGTGATAATGGAATTGATTTATTCTTTAAGGAAGCCAACTTGAGGAGTTATTGACTCCCCAACAATCAAAATATCCCACATGATATTTCATAAAAGAATCTCCGACTACCACTAAGAGCTCTTTCCTTGCTTACCATTCAAACAAACATACAAGCAAGGCAATAATAAGTTGGCGCAACTTATAGAACAATCTATATTTTCGACTCCAACTTTGCCTATGAATAGCTTCCAAATCAATACTCCAATTCCATGAGATGACATCTACATTAATGCACCTTAAAAATAGATAATTATTAGTAATAATTTTGTTACTATTATCAAAGACAAGAATTCAAGGAAGATACATAAACAAGTGAGAGAAATATCAAAGAAAAATAAAAAAATGTTAATAGAAAAGTATGTATATTTAAGAAATAACTAGAATAGCTATTGTTAAAGATTAGAAATTTAGAGATTCTTAAAACTACACTAAAAATAATTTTTTTTGATAATTTAGGCTCTTTTCTTATTTTATATATACTATCTAATTAAGAGCTATATAATGACATCATGTAGGACCTCCGACAAGTGTTCAATTTGTGAGACATATGTCTTAATTTGTAAGACAAGTTTTCTAACCATGTGCCACATGGTTAGCTTGTATCACAAGCTACCAACATGTACAACATATGGTTAATTTGTTGACTAAGTATTCAGCCTATCAATCACCTTTAGACATGTATAAAAATGAAACCACATCTATGAAGCTTTTAGGAAGCTTTTCTATAAGATATATTATCAAACTTATCTATTTTTTATCTATTTCTATTTATTCATATTATCTAAGTAACTATTGGTATAAATATAGATGTCCATGATATCATCTCATCTTCTAAGAATAATTTCCACAAAGAGCAATGATCACATGTTGATGAAGTCTAAAAAGTGATGAATTATATATGCTACTTACTCTTATCTTTATTCACTTTGAAGGTAGTTGATGGGTCCTCTTAACCATTGATAATATCTTATTTCAAAGTAAGAGGTCTACTTTCTTATTTGATCATTATTGAGGCCTTTGTACCTTCCTTCAAACAAAATATTTATAATACTATTAAAAATAGTTTCTACTTCCAATAAAATTATCAAACAACAAAAGTCTCTTTCAAGGTCATGATATCAAACATATTATATCTTGCCATCTATTTGAGGAAGAACATATTATTCTTGAAGGTCTTTGTTTCTATTACATCATCTTGAAGGCTGTGATAATTACAAAATCTTATTTAATAACTCAACAAGTGATATTTTTTGAATTAAATTTATTGGCTATTGATTCTCTATCTCCTTAGCATTACAAATATGTAAAAATTATAAACAAGAATAAAAAGTAGAATGAAAACTTTCTTGAATTATATTCTTTTTATAGCAAAGATTTTTTTTGACTCTTCAACTTGATATTGATGAATTTTATTGATGAAAATCTTTAATCTTTTCTATTATATTTGTAATTTTTTTTGTTGGATTCTATGCAAGTTCATTAATATTGTATTCATGCCAATGAATAAGATATTTCAACCTATTTTGGTTTCACCTTAAGTCTAAGACTTCTTTAATTTCAAATTCTTAGTTATTATCTATTTTTATAAGAGAAGGTGGCATTTATCTTCTGCCTAGGACATTCACTATTTTATATGGCTTAAAAAGAGATAAATGAAATATCGAATGGA